GGTGTTGACTTCAATGTCCACTATTATATTTACATAACTCTCTATCCCTGATATTAAGCATTTTATCCCATTAATATAGCAGACATTAAAACTATATTTTATCAGATATATATACCCTGTAACCAGTGTAAAAGTTGTCGGGACCGGAGAAGAAGTCTCTTATATCTGGGTTTCTCTTATATCCGGGTTTGGTCTAATTTATATACATTAACACAGGCTCTAATTTAGGACCAGTGAAAATCTCTCTTATATCCGGGTTTCTCTTATATCAGGGTCTCTTGTATCCGGGTTAGACTATATATATATATATATATATATATATATATATATATATATAAAATAAAATATATAAAAAAACAAAACACCTACGGTTAAATGGAGTTTGGTTAAGAAAGCTCGACATGTAACTCCCTATATGCCCCATGTTACCTATGCCTTAATGAAAAATTTGAAATTATTAGATTTAAAAACAAGGCAGATCTCTTAAATCAAAGATATGAACTGTAAATTGTAAACACCGTTATAAATTTAACTTAGTGTAGGGGTCGTATACTTTAAATGATAATGATATGTCGCTGTAATTTTAATAGATTAGTGTTTTTATTGCATGATGGTCATACTGACGATATAAATGGGTATTGTTTACCTAAATAGTGTTATTAGTGTTGGTGTATATGTATATTTATTTATGTGTAGGTTAGCGTGTTTGCACTGAGGAATGTGTAGGTTTGAATATAAGTGTATTTATATGTGTTTTTTTTTGTTTTGTTTTATATATATATATGTGTGTGTGTGTGTTTATATATATATGTGTGTGCATATATATATATATATATATATATATATATATCTTTATATATATATATATATATATATATATATATATATATTTATATAGAGAAAGAGGAAATGGTAGATAAGATATGAGTTTATGGTGTTAAAAATATATGTTGTAATATGTGTTTGTGTGTGTATATATATATGTATATATATATATATATATATATATATATATATATATATATATATATATATATATATATATATATATATATATATATATATATATATACACACACACACACACACACACATATATATATATATATATATATATATATATATATATATATATGAGCATAGGTGGTATAGTGGTTGGCAAGTTTGGTTCGCTACATCAATTGCGACTGAGTAGTGAGTTCGTTCCTCGCTGGGTGCCCCCCTAATTTCGGCTTTGTGCCACGGTATATTGTATATATATATGTATGTGTGTGTGTGTATGTGTATGTATATATATATATATATATATATATATATATATATACGTGTGTGTATGTGTGTGTATATATGTATATATCTGTATCTGTCATATTTTATTGTGTATGTATATTTATATTTAAGTATATTTCTGTCTGTATGAATGTGTTTATATATTTGTATGTTAGGGTATATGTATATTGGTGTGTGCTGGTATTTGAATGTATATTTATGTATGTATATGTAAGTACGTTTATATATGTATTTGGTTGAATGTTGTATTTATATGTATGCATGTATATATTGATACATGTTATTATAGATAGATATATTTATATATATGTTTATATGTAGATATGTATGTATGTGTATATATATTTATGTATGTTTGTGGATCTATATGTATGTGATGACACCTATTATGTATGAGTTTGTTTGTGTGTATGTGTAGGTATGGAAACGTTGGTATGTCATTACTGCCACAGTAGTTAGTCTATGTGTGTATATATGTTCATATATGTATTGGTGCATGTATTTATATTGGGGCATATATTTATATATGTGAGTATGTGTGCATAAAAATGTGTGTATATATGTGTGTATATGTGTTTATATGTATATGTGTGTGTATGTGTACTTGTTATCATAGATATGTATATGTGCGTATATGTTTATGTTTATATATTTATATGTATGTATTTCTGTATGTATATGTATGTATGTGTGTATGTATATGTGTGCTAATTTGTGTTTGCTGCCGCGTGTGTATATATGTATATGCGTATGATGTTACACTTATTTCTGTAGGTTTTCTTTATCCTGTTTTTCTTCGCCTAATATATAATGAAACTATTATCAACTTATATGATTAAAATATATTTTTATTGATATTTGTGGTTCTGGAATTTTCGTTTTAATATATTAAATAATATTATTTTTAACCATTTTTATCTTTGTATATTTGCTCCCTTAAGTTATAACTTAATAAGTGGTTAGCATTTATTTAATGATACTTTAAGTCTTAAATATTTATTGGTTGTGGTATCTGATTGTCTAGGACATTGTCTGTGGATGTGTGTACGTGTATTTATCGGTGTCTATGTGTATGTAGAATGTATTCACATTTAATTCTGTGTGTGTATAGGTGTCGGTTTCCTCGTTTCCTTTTTTCATAAAGGGCTGTAGAGATGTTCCTGTCTCGTCACATTTTTTTTTTTTGTCTTTGTGTTTTTGTTGTTTTGCGCGTGAGTTTAAGACCACATTAACACACTTTAGAATAAAAAATATATATACATGTATTGTCAAATGACCGGATATATTGTAGCGGCTTGTCGAACGTAATTTCAACGAAGAAATAAATTGAATAACATATGTATTTTTTCTTTTCTCAATAATTTTGTAGAGAAAATATACAAGTAAAATAAATTGACCTAAATTCATCCAAGTAAATAAATAGACAAACCAATCCCAAATTAAAAACTCTTCCCGCCAAAATAATAGTTAGAATGAACTACAACAACCAACCCCAAAATTGAACAAATAGCTTTAATTAAATTCTCAAACCAAAACAAAACTGTTAAATAAGTGACATAAACAAATTTTTACTACGTTAATAAATAAATAAATAAATAAGAAACAAAAATAAATACGAGCAATATAACTTGACCCAAATAAATAAACAAACGACTTCCGGTAAAATAACCGTCATAATAGAATACCCACACTGCACCACTAACCCGTATATATATAAATAGCCGAGAAAAAATAACAGCATATGTAGCCTGACGATTGCATATAGTATAAAACAGACTGTCGCCTCTAAGTGTTGACTTCTATATTCACTTTATATATATATATATATATATATATATATATATATATATATATATATTAGGAATATTATAATTATTTTCGATTTTAAAAATATTGTTCCATCGCTACGCAGGAAATACCATGTTTCAAAACAGAAACTAAAATTTTAAATTTAAATATAAAATAAATTAAATTAAAATCCATAGCGTCTTTCCATTCTCAAGTTATTTTTGGAAACACTACTGCGTTTGTATCGAGCAGTTTTTAAAAATATAAAATAATTACTATGAACACCGCATTGTAAAATTTACTGTTCTTTCTTATTATTTTAGAATCAACGATAGCACGACTCGGAGTTTTATGCAGTTCATGCAATCTTCAGGTGCGAAAAATATCCTGACTGTCAAAATTGTGTGTTAAAAATTATTTATTTATTGTTGCCAAAATATTAGAATTAATTTTTAATAGTTTATATCATTCAAATTCTTAAGTTTGAAAGACGGGGAACTCATTTGCATAAAATACCATAGATATAGCAATTAAATTAAACTACTACTCAGGGTGTAAATATAATACAAAGGTGTAAAAATAATAAGTAGGAGCTATATATCAAATGTGTTTCGAACCAAGCCTTATAATTATAAAGGTGAAATTATACATACAAACTTTATAAATTCATCGTGTACAGTAATATTGGATTATATGTGTATATAGATATATAAGAAATATTATGAATGATGGCTTCTAAGATTATTAATTGTTGTTGCATATTATCTTAATATTCGTAAAATCCATTTTGTAATCGCTTTTAATCGAAGTCAATGTATTTGAGCAGGTGGATAGACTTATACGTACATGTGGATATCAATTCAGATCTCGTGTTCAGCAAGTTATGGTTATTTGCTTGAATAAAATAAGCTTCTCCAACAAGCACAAATTACATCTGTCTCCTTTTACATTGTATGGCTTAGCTTTTGCGATTATCTCCCAGCTAATGTTAGGTTCTTATGGTTCTTTTTTAATCGCCAAACATACTTTGAAAGTTCTCTGCTTTTTTTGTATTTGATATTGCTCAGTGTCCTTTTGTAGTGGTAAAAAAGCGATTTCTAGCTGTTCTCGGTGAATCCAAAGTAATATTTAACATCATCGTCCGAAGTGATCCTAAATATGTATATTATACCTCCAGTCATGCACTTGCCATTTAATGAGCAGAATACGATTTTACGGCAGTTGCATTGTCATTTCGTAGGACTATTATTTAGTATTTACTTAATACATAATTGTTGTTGGGATATATAATTATCTATGTTTTTGTACAGTTATAACTTACCTTAATATTATCTTTTTGAAAATCTTTTTAGTGTTGGAGAATGACGGAAGTGTTTGTGAATCAAATTCAGGAAAATTCTATCGATATTGGTTTTGATATTACTGTGGTATGGCGGGATGAACCATATTATTTTACATTTGCGTTGTTTTAGCTTATTTTTTTTTTTATCTTTGTCGTTATTTCTTAAAGATAAAAATAAGCTAAAGCAACGCAAACCCCTCTCTATTTGTATCTGTTTCTCTCTCTCCCCCCTCTCTCTCTATATATATATATATACATATATATATATATATATATATATATACACACACACACACACACACATATATATATATATATATATATATATATATATATATATCCATCCAAACCTTTTTGTCTTTGTTCTCTTTTTCATTCATTTCTTTCTTTTCACCTTTCTAAATTCTTTTTTTTCTTAAAGGTTCATTTTTTGTCTTTTTTGTTTTCTTAATCATTTTCCTTTTCTCTTTATTTATTATTGAACTTTCTTCCTTCCATCTTTCTATTCTAATTTCTTCTTTTTCTTTCTTTTTTCGAATTTATTTTTCTTTTTTCTTCCTTCTTTTCATTTCTTTTTCAGTTATATCTTTCCTTCATTCCTTCCCTCCTTTTTATTTTTTCTTTCTTTCTTTCTTTCTTTCTTTCTTTCTTTCTTGCATTTCTTTTTCTTTCATTCTTCCATTTCTTTCTTTCCTATATTTCTTTTTCTTTTTTCTTTCTTTTTTTATTTCTTTCTAATTCTTTCTTTCTATCTTGCATTTCTTTTCTATTTAATTATTCCATTTCCTTCTTTCTTTCTTTCTTTTTTCTTTATTTCTCTTTTATTCTTTCATTTCTTTCTTTCTTTATTTTGTTTCTTTCTTTCTTGCGTTTCTTTTTCTTTCATTCTTCCATGTCTTTCTTTCTTTCTTTCTTTCTTTCTTTCTTTCTTTCTTTTTGCATTTCCCCAGTTCTTTATTGCTCACGCTTTTGCTCTTCTCTTTCCTCCCGCCTGCTCACATAACCATGGCTGCTTCTTGCCATTGCAATGTAATCAAATTCTAAAAGGACCGTGCCGTTCCGTTAAGCACAACAGACGAATGCCAAAAAGGTGAAGCAGCCGAGCGCACAAAGAAAATGACGGAATGAGTAACGCGACTCAAATTCGATGCCCTGCCCAAAACTGACAGGTTCACAATTTACCCGTAACCTTGTCAGATCTTAAAACGGCCCGCCAAGTATACAAACAAGACAGAGGGGACGTATTTAGACGCTTGTCAAATGCATAAAGAGACCGTATTTGCCACTGACCGACCTTGTACTGTCACAGACGGAACAATTATGGATACAGTTTTCCATTGTGAATTCACCGTTCGACATTTATAGAGTAGACCGTTTGATCGTGAAACTCGCGTTGGTCGCTAATAAATCCTTCCTCTCAAAGTTGGGTCTTTGTAACTAGAATAGTAGCTGAATTCTTTTATAGATCAGTCAGTTAAGTGCCATACGCGATATAAACTTAGCCGGTTTGGTCTCTTTCGATTCATGATTAAGTAGAAGATGTTTACGGAATAAGTTTCCGTTTCTTTCTGCAGTAGACTGGTTGCCAGCCAAGGCTTTAGGATCCAGTCTGCCCTGCTATTCAACCCATAGTTTTGGGTTGTCTAGAAGAGAAGGATTTATACATTTTACAAGGGTATTTGCGTGTAAGTGACTGCAACGGAACTGACTGGAATTTGAAATTGGCACTCCTATTTCTTACTCATATTCATAACACTTCACAGCACATTTTATTGATACGGAAAGCCAGATACAAGTACAATACTCTCATCTCCAATAACCACACATTCTAGCATCTTTATATCTGTTGTTTTAATAATTATACCCAGAAAACAAATGTTAGCACATTGACTGCCAGCCATGAGTTAAAGCATAATCGGCTGTTTTTATTATGACTCTGACTACGAGTTATCGCCTGCTTGGCATTTTCTGATACAATTTTTATTTACAGATGTCAGCAATATCTTTATTTGCAGTGATAAGTTTGAAACGAATGTCAAGATGAACCTATAAATCAGCTCATATTTTTTTAAGCATTTCACCTTAAGCTAGACAGGAGAGACACTACCAGTCAAGAGGTTGTAGAGAGTGAAAGGAAGAGTAAAGAGGAATGTTTGGGAAAAAGAAAAAGAGAAGGACTGGGATCAAGATCAAGGCGATTAACATTACATTTAAATTTTTGAAGATTATCAGAGAAGCAAGTAAGAGGAAAGGAGTTCTACTTTTTTGAAGTGCGGGAGAAGAAACTGTTGGAGTAGAAGAGTCGGTTATATTAAACTGTTTTGTCAGTAAAAGGGTAGGACCAAGATGCCAACCGAATAGCAAGCTTAAATTCATGCTGTTGGGGTACAAGTGAAAATAGCTCGTCCGAGCAGTTATCGTGAAATCTTTTGTAGAAAATATAGAGGGAAGCCACATCACGTCTGTGAGAAAATGACTGGAGTCGAGATGCCAGATCAGGGCGTGTCATATTGCATATCAGTTTTGGATTTTGTCGAGAACCTCGTGATGAATAGCGTGTCATCAGACCATATATGGCAACAGTATCCAATGCAATGGGGAATGGTAGATTTGTAGATTTGAAGGATGGAATCAAATGAGATAAACCTTCTGGTATGACACAGAGAACCAACTTTCCTTGCGGGAGATGCAGCTATTGATTTAATGCAGTTGTTCCACCTCAGGTCAGTGGAAAACGTGAGTCCAAGAAGAGGTAGAGAGATGCTCTCGTGAAGTTGGGTATCAACCATGCTGATAGGAGGCAGGAATGTTTCTTTGTTTAACCAGAGATTGGAGATCCTTTGCGAGACCAACGGCCAGCTTTGTAAGTGTTGTGTACGATACACCTAATTTACATAAGTGGAGTACCGACCATATAATATGGGTTGGTAACGGAAGACGGGGGAATAGTAGTTAGTAAGAAGAGATCGAATCGAGAGACTCTGCCCGACTGCGATTTAGTCAACCCATTATGCAGGAACAGTCTTCCCAAGAATATACCAAAACTAACTGTAAATATTGTGTACCGTTTCCTTGTTTCAATACATTTTGTTTACGTACATTTTGTGTTGTATTATTATTATTATTCCATGCTTATCCAAGTTTCAACAGTAAGCAATGCCGGATCTGAGTAAAGCTGGCGTTTAAAGTCAGATTTTGTAATTGACTGCTAACAATCAACATTAAAAAAAAAAACACACAAAAAACTACATTTTCTGGGATAAAGTTTAATTGATTTGGTTGTTTAACGTCACATCTACTCCTTATGGGTCATTTAATGCCGAATTTAATTTTCTTAGGAGATTGGAAGTAATAAAAATATGATATAGTTTATTCTGCTTTCACATTTGAATACATGGTAGATAATACACAACTTTTTGCATATATATGTTCTAGGGGACATGATTAATAGAAGTGGTGATATTTGTATTTCCTTTTGTAGCTTGAAGTTTTATTTGGGAATACAATTTTATTTAAGTAATTCTCGGTTATTATATGGATTAATTAATTAAAGTGTTCATGTTTGTTGTTTGGTAGTAATTTAAACGAATTTGGATAAAGTCACTACAATGTGTTACTATATCTAGATTGTTAGTAATTTTACTGTATGTACTGTTGGTATCTTTTATATAAAAATATATTGCTGGTATTTTTTATATTTTCATAGTTTTTTTTTTCTTTGGGTGTTCACTGTTAACCCACTGTTTGAACCCTAACAGGTACTACCACCCTGAGCCAGGGTGAACATGTGTCATATTCCGTGCTAAGTGAATAAATACTTAACACCAGGTGGATAATAGAAGAAAGGTTTATTGTACACAACAAGTACAATATGAAATATGGTACAGTTATACACACAGGTCAATCTAGTAGTGAGTGCCACTAATTGGAAACTCGGGCGTGCTTGTGTCGTCTCGCTCTCTGTCCCTGTCTCTCGTAGAAGGTCGAATTTATAGGTACTTACTACCTATAGTGTAATCATTCATGGTGGTGACTGGTTATTCCATTACATCAGCATGGAAACAACAGCAATTAAGTGGTAGTTTCATGTTCCTGAAAACCTCCAATCCCCCGATCAGATGCATTTCTGCCGGATGTAGTGTAGCTTAGCCTCACATCCAATACTACTTGGATAACGATCTCTCTATCTTCCACTCTCTATCTCTCCTATATCTCTATCTGTGTATATACATTTTCTCTGTTGCACTCACGTCATATCTTTTGACTATATTATGCATACTAAAGCTCAATTTCAGACCCCAAATGGAACTCTTAGATCCGTGCCATCACTAGAAATCCTGGAAGAATGGGTGGTTCCTTGGTAGCACCAGAAAATACCCAAATTTTGCTTCCTTGCTCCACCTTTACAAAATTCAGGTCAGACCAAGAATGGCGTATTGATGCCATATTGAAAACTGTCCATCACTGGGAAAGAGATTGCTGGGTGGAAAATAATTCAACATGAACTTCTTTTATAGCTAAATGGTATAGCACGTCAGACCATATTAGGGTTTGATTCTGTTGGAGGACACATATTTTCTATGAAATTTTTCGGACATTGAGGCCGGTAAATTTAGTTAATACTGTTTATTATAAACGCGATTATGTGACCATATGGATGTTAAATTACGTTCCACCGTGCAATTCCTTTCGCACAGACGAAACGCGGCTCTCCGTTCCTTATTCTACCTCAATTATTATGTTCACACGAATTACATTGTTTAGTGGCATCAGTTCAGCCCATCACAGCTAGGACCTGTCATCCCGCGTACCCAGCATCAAATGATCCCCCATCCACTTCGTATAAATTTGGTGATAAAGCTTCTTTCCCATAACTCACCTCCTTTGTGTAATAGACTCCCAAGAGTGTGCTTCCACGACTACTGCAATCCTAGCCTCTTCAAGCCTAGAATGAACTGATATCTTAATATCTTCACAATATACAAGTCTTTCTCCTTTACTACGACCTTACAACAATCTCATTCAGTAACCCACTACCTTGAGTGACTCTTGGGCATTATATTAGTTGGAAAAAACGGCTGTTGTGCATGTGTACTTGACTATACAGAAGAAAGGTTGCAATTTTGACAAATAATCAGGCAAAAATAACTTTTATCGTTGCCCAAAAAACGACATTAGTAAAGGATAATTAAGTCAGGGAATAATATTTGAAAGATCTTAAAAATTTCTTAACAGAAATTCAAACTCCATACATCAAATACCATTTAATATACCCCAAATATGATATAACGCAAACTAAAATTTCACACAACACACATTTC